AAAAGTCCATTTGCGACAACTATAGATGGTATTCAAGATCAGTTTGGCACTAATCATATTGGCCATTTTGTAAGTATAGTATGAGAATATTTTAATTAAAAGTTTTCTTTAAAAAAAGCGTTATCATAACATGAATTTTTAAACTACGAAATAGGTCTTCACGCTCTTACTGTTGCCAACTATCAAAGCTTCGGCTCCATCACGTATTGTAAATGTTAGCAGGTTAGTTTAATTTCTTTCCATATTAAGAAAATTTAAATTTATCTTATTGACCATTATCGTCTCGGTATGATTTTAGTGCGGGTCATAGATTTGCACCTTCACCAGCAGGGATAGAATTTGAAAAGTTGAATGATCCAGAGGCTCATACCCCTTTTCAAAGATATGGTCAATCAAAACTCGCAAATATTTTATTTACTCTTGAACTTAATAAAAGACTTTCAGGAACAAATGTTTATTGTAATTGCCTTCATCCAGGTAAAAAAATATTTCAAATTATAGTATTTTATAATACGTGTATAATTAATTATTCTAAATAAAATACTATATAATATCAATAACTGCATACGTATAAATAGGGACTGAGTTAATGCGTGGAATGGAAGCTGACTGGGGATTTTGGATAAAGCCAATTACTTATTTACTTTCATTATTCATGTTATCACCTGATGATGGTGCTTTAACTCAACTTTATTGCGCCACAAGTCCTGAAATTGAAGAAGAAATCTCCGTGGATTATATTTTGTACCATTTGGTGAGGTAAATGAACCTCTTACTGCTCAAGCTAAAGACGAAGAACTGGCAAAAAAGTTATGGGATTTTTCTGAAAATTTCGGTAAAGAAAAATTGGGTGCTAAAATTTTTAGTAAAAGTTTTTCATAATGCTGGTGTCGTGACTATTAAATCATGGATTTTTATTTTATTTTTTATTTTTTTATGTTTTTTATATCGATATAGTTTTCATTTTCATATTTATGTATATTAAAATGCATGCAAGGAGGTTCAGTTGTAACTTAAGGAGCAACTTCGCATTTTTATAATTAATATTTGTATATTAAAACAAGTCATGCGCCTGTCCATGCGCTGGGAGTTTTTTTTTTAGCCGATTCGGGATTTTTACACTGTGAATTATTCAAACAATCAAGATTCAGGTCAAGTGTCACAAAGAGATTCTTCGCTACATTATAGCTGTTTCGTAAATTTATTAATTGAGCGTCATTTGTAGCAGGGTTGGCAAATGACAATGTCATTTAAAATTTTCGTGACAAATGACAAATTAGTGACAAACGACATAGGTCATTTGTTATTTTTGTCATTTAAAAATAATATATTAAGACCTCGAGTGTTTTAGGATTTAACCAATCCTGAAGTGACACAAATCTCAGGATCTTAGCATTTTTATTTTTTAAATGACAAAGTGACAAATGACAATGTCACAATGTCATTTATGTCATTTAAAAGTCATTTGCCAACCCTGATTTGTAGACATGTTATTTAAAATCGGGTTGCATTTACAAAAAAAACTTATGCTGAAGAATAAAAAAAAAAAAAATGAATTTAAAAAATGAAATAAAATAAAAAATAGATAAAGTAAGCAAAATATATATATATTACATGCTTGCTAAATTCAAACTAAATTTGTCTACATGCACATAGCAACGTAAGTAACGTTAAGAATTTTTGCATTCACCACGTAAAAGATCAAATTTCCTGAACATAACACATTATTTTTGTCTGCCAATTCTTCATAAAAATTTTCAATATACCGAATTTGCGCTCCTAAATTAATCCTATCTATCTAGTAATTCTCTATTGTACCGGTACGAAGAATTTTGAAAATATTAACCACTAGATTATTTACTATAATTAGACGCTGACATCTATCAATCAAACTTCGCCTTTTAATGGTCTTTGACATATAATCAAATCTTATCTCAACCATTCTAATCCAAACACTAAACGCTAATTTAAAGGGCTTGTTAGAATAAATTTATAAACAAATAATAAAGAGTGTTAAAATATTTATTTAACAATAATCATAAGGAGTTGTTAGAATGATTATTTAATGCTAACTATAAAGAAATGTTAGTATTAAAAGTTGGGTGACAAAACTATTTTTGCGATGCTTAAATGATTTCATCAATGATTCGTCTGACGAAACTGCCGACGAAACTACTGACGATTGACGAAATTGATTTGGCCAATAAAATATAAAATACAGTCAAAAAATACAATTGACCCTATTTTGACGTGCTTCTTAATGATGACTTCTGGATATTCTGGTAATGAATTTTTTTTTTTTATATATTATTATTAATAAAAAAAAAAAAAATCGTACAAGTTAATTCACTCAATAGATATTTGGTTACATGTGGGATCAATGTGCCAAAAAAATAGAAACTGAGTTGAACAAAAAATTAAACTCACATGATTCCTAGAGAAAATCTTTTTTTCTTATTATTATTATTATGCCCAATTACATATAAAATTTATGATCTGCTTCGTCATTCTAACACTCGTCATGAGTTTCGTCATTTATCACCCATCTTTAGTTAGAATGATTATTTAACACTAATCATAAAGAGCTATTGGAATAATATTTAACACTAAATCATAAAGAATGATTCATTCCAATAGCTCTTTATGATTTAGTGTTAAATAACCATTCTAACGCTAACCAGATCGGGCAGAACGAATTTTTTTATAATAATTTAGACTGACTACACCGAACTCAAATAGTAAATTTTTATATACCGCAACCCTCATTATACATATATGCATCTAATTTGAAATAATTGAAATATGATTGGTTAAAGTCCATGTGATTTATGCGATATTGAAAATATCGTGATAATCCTGATCAGTGATGTTTATTTTGATGTGCTTTTACTGTTTAAACAAACCTTCGCGTTTCTATCTTGTTTAATTTCTATCTTTACACGAATAATTTTCTTAGCTGTCGGTTTTTTAACATTAAAAACGCTTTTTCAAAAAACCTTTTTTATTTGAGGCTAATAATATTAATTACACCAACGAAGACAACGAACGAAGGTTAGTATTATGTTTGTGAACATTTCGGGAACAGAAGGTTGCTTTCTGCATGTATGCCTATTGGGGTCGACTGATTCTGGATGAGGAATTAGCATGAACTTTCCTTAATAGAGCAACCTTGGCTTATTACACGAGATCCAAGATCGTCTGTACTGGCTTCTAAAAAGTGACGAGTCGACTATTAGTGATATATGGCTTGATAAGGGTGTCTAGTTCGCTATTAGCAGCCTCGTGCTGGCTTGATAAGAGTGTCTAAGTAGGTTCGCCTTTACTGGCTCTTTGGCAAGTGAGTAGGACCCAGTTAACTGGCCCTTTGGCAAGTGTTAGTGTTGTTACTGGCTTTTTGGAGGTGTCGAGTCGGAACTTGGAGTAATAGGCAACATAGTACCTGACTAGTTTAATACTTTTTTGTGTTTACTAAATTTTTATTTATTTTTTTTTAATATAATAGATTATCGACTTTCGATGAATTATATTGTCGAAAATACCCGATTTGGATGATTCCCTCAAACCTTGCGATGATGACATTAAAGTTATATTCCTGAAAAATATATTAATTAAATACATTTTGGAAACGGAAGGTTGCTATATCGATATTTATTTTTTTAAAATTTTTTTTTCTGTATTAACTATAGAAGTTGCGTCGTTCGTAGGTGCCGATAATTACCGCTACGTCGTTATGGATACGCAGTGTAGAAACCACCAGCCGATGCTACGCATTACGAATTCGACCAATGATGCCGATACTTGTTGCAATTATTATTACTATTTCTCCTATCTCGATGTATATGTTGTAAGGGGAACGAAATATATTTAAAAATTAATGGACCAATTTATGATATTGTTGAAAATCTTCATATAGCCAAAAATGTTGAGACTTTAGAACTCCACAATAATGATCTTAGTTCTGAAGTCATAAACGAAATAATAAAAAATATTCCCTTGATTTCTTTAATTTTTAATAAGGTTGCAGAGCCAATTCAAGTGGATTCGAAATTTCTTAGTTAAATTAGGGTTAGGGTATGGGTGTACATATGGTAAAATCAACCCGAAAAATGGGGTTTTATACCGAATCCACTTAAGTTCCGCTTCCGCTTATAACATATATTTCGATTGCAATTTACGATATAAATTAGATTTTTTTATTTTATTTTGTTTATTATTTATTTATTTTTTTTAAATTAATTAATGTATATCGGTATTGTCTAATAAAATCGTTGCACGTGGCCCGCGAGATATTAGAGGGTGCGAGATTTAGATTTAAAAATTTAAATTTTAAAATATTTTCGCTCCGGCCTCACAATGCGCATTAGCCTAGTGTAATGAATTTAATTAGCTCGAGCTTGTTCAATCAGACATAAATTTATAAAATCGCGAAAAATTCAGTTTTTATACTTATTTATTTTTCTTTCTCTTTCATTTTTAAGTTCCTTATTTTATAGAGCCAAATTTTTCTTTAATTTTTTTACTAACTATAATAAAATACAACAAAAAATTTTTTAATATACTTTATTAATTTGTATTAAACAATAAGAATTTAACAACTTTGTAAAATTATTATTCCTTTTTTATAATTTAAAAAAATATAGCAATTGCATAAATTTAAGAATAAATAAATATTTATAACTAAATTTATTTTAATAAAAATTCACATTAAAAATTTATCTCTAGTTTTTAAATAATGTTTTTAAATAATGTAAGGAAGAATATTTATGATTTACTGGACACAACCCTAAAAATCAGATACAGTATATGAATCGAAAATCGATTAATCGTTTAGTTGGCTGAGTTGACAACTAATCGATTAATAATTTTGACCCAACTATT